CCTTGTTCGACGGGCGTGGTCGCACACGGTGAAATCGAGGGCGGCACCCCAGGAAATCTTGGGAAAGTCGTGGCTTCTGTTGGCGACCTTTCTGCAAAACCATCATCATAATCAATCTTGGATGACTACGAACGGGGATGGATGGAGATGGATGGAGACGGATCCGCCGACCGCCGAGCGCCGACCGATCTGCGTTTAGCTTTTTTCGGTCGAGTTTATGTAGACTACACAGTCAGACCGGGGGGGGAATTTCATGTTTCGATGCTGCCTCTCGCCCATCCTCCTTGCGTTGACTGCCCGTCGTCCTTCCAAATACAGCATGTACTGGCACGCAGTTTGTACGAGAGAGACTTCAGGGTGATGCGCACGTCTCCCTCCCCTCCGCCGAGAGACACAACAAAAAGCAACGACACCAGATTGATTGATATTTTAAAATATTGATCCCAGCGGCCGGTTGATCCGGAGTCGCTGACTGTCTGGCCTAACAGTCGAACAGCCGAGTCACACAGGCTGGTCATTTTCGACCCACGCACCGCGCCTCTTCTTTCCTCTGTTTTCTGCGGCTGCCTCGATTCCGGCGGGGGCTGCAGGCGCGTTGTTCCCCGCCACTTCTATAATGACGACGCGCACGACGATTGATCCCGCAGCCGACTGAAGACAGACAGACAGAAGAGAAGAACCAAAGGGATCCACCATAGGCATCCCTCACACACACACATTCGCGCGCGCGCGGCCGATCTTGCAGCTCATCATCATCGAATCGTCACTCAGAGCCGGCAAAGAGCCACCTCCTTCAAAATGTCGGTGAAACAATGGAAGCGACTGTTCCCGCTCCCGCCGTCACAGCCACCACGAACACAGGGATCTTTCGCCGTGGTTGACGATCGTCCACAACCGCCGACTTTTTTTGTCGTCCTACTTTTCAATAATTTCTTTTAAAAAAATGCTCCGACATTACAAAAAGAGGCGCTACTACGCCGCCGCCACGGCTCCGCGGCCCGAGTACAGGTGGTGCTCCGCCGAGCAGGTCGACCAGGCCGCTCCCCTGCTTGACAGGAGCAACGGCTGGCGCTACTGGGCCCCCGAGAGGGAGAGACCTACAGGCGCCAGGCGGTCTTCGGGGCCGGGTTCCGCCTCCGCCTGCCGCTCCCCTCCTCTCCCCGGGGCCCGGACACCGCTGGTTCAACTCGCACCCCCTCGGCGGGGATCCCGACCTTTTAGACTTCCAGTCCTGGGCGAGGACGATGCTGCGCAGGCGCCTGGTGCACCTGCGTGACGCCGACGCCTGACGGGCGGCCTTCGTCGACGTCGAGGGCGGCGGCCACGGACAGCTCGTGGTCTCCGCCGCCGACGAGACCTGGCGAGTCATCCTATGCTGGGGATCACGGGGCCGAAGGATCGACGTCAACCAGCACGGCATCCCTCCATCTCTCGTGGATCTGCAGGTTCGCGCCGGTGTCACATCGGAGGATCCACGCTTCAGATAGCTCAATATCGCATCCTTCGGCCACCGACTCGTGAAATACGATCCCCTGACCGAGTTTGGAGCTACTTGGAAAGAGCGCCTCCCGGGCGCCTGTCTGGCGGTCCTGGTCGCAGACTCGTGGCGAGACTGTCAGGTCGATCTACTCGCACGCGATCGACGGAGATATTGGGTTCCGTGACGTAGACCCGCTGACCGGTACGTTCATGGATTCTCGTGCCGGGGGACGGTCGAAGAAAGATGTCGAGCGTGCACCGCCGAATGCCCTGGATGGGGGAAACTATTTCGCAAACCTCTACTCGATAATGCTCGAGAGGGACGTTGGTTCAATAGAGTTCTCGTCGTGGCTTTGCTTTCGGGCGAGGAATGTATACCGGCCGTTACTGTCCGCCACCTTGAGAAGTGGCTCAAGACCACCAAGGCGTCAGTCGTCGTGTGGTCGCACAGGGGCTCCGGGGCCGAGGTTGTCGGTGCCAAGGACCAGACGACGAGCCTCCGTCCTCGAGCGCTTCACGTCGGGGTTTGCGAGGGCCACGTGTGCCGCTTGGTGCTCGATGGCCCTTGGAAGGATCGCCTCACCGGCGCTCGCGAGGGGGCGGTCGGTCCATCTATGGATGTGGCGGTCGAGCACTGCGTGCGCACGAGGCGTTTCGCCGTATTGCCGAGGCGGCCGAGGAGGGGGGGGGAGAGGAGGAATCGGATGGTGACACCAGAACCTTTGGTCGATGCGCGGACATGACGGAGGCAATCCTCTCCTCGAGTCAGACGGAGGCGGACCAGCAGACCGCTCGTAAGCGGCGGAGAGGAACCGATGACAAGGCAGACAGCAAGAAGACCTGGTACGCACCTCCCGGTACGGCGCTGGACGAGCTCATGCTCCATCTCCACCTCGGTGTCGTGGCTTGTACGGGCAGACTGACCAGCTACAGCCACTGGGATTCGTTGTCGTTACCGGCGCACGGCATCATCATTCGAACCTGGTGCGGCGCGAGCATGGGCGGACTGGATCCAGATGTGCTCTAATGCGACGAAGCTACTCGTCTGATCGAGCTGCACGGCACGCTGGGGCGCAAGCTCATTCGTGGTGTGGTGGATTTTCGCGTCTCGAGTGAGTACAGCCCGTCTCTTCTCGCGCTAGGGCAGGGTACTGTAGTTGACGACGTGTCGAGTCGAGTTCAGTGCAAGCTGGAAGAGTACAGACGGTACTGGGTAAATGGCATGGGCAGGGGGCAGGAGGCGGGTTACGGGTCATCGCCAGACAGCGACGACATCAAGACAAAACAACAAAAACGTTCTAGAATCAACTGCGGCATGAAAAACGACGCGACTTCTAGGGAAAACGGACACATTCGATTCTGCGGCGCCCCTGTCAGGGGGGGGGGCGCGGAGCAAGAAACATTCCAGATATTTTGTCCTGCTGTGTACGAGACTGGCGTCTCTCTAATCAGTCGTCACCGGACAATTGGCGCGCGGTCGATGCCACGTGATAAGAGGAAGACGACACAAACAATTCAAATCGCACACAATAGCACGAGAGAGACCAAGACCCAACAGGAAGCTCGCAGCACGCAGGCATGAATATATCATACCTGTCCCAACCTAGCGCCTCCCTGCGGACAGCCGATCGCCTCTCCTCCGCCCTGGCACTGACCAGCGCCTCGTTCTCCTCGAGGGTAAGGGGAGTACCAGACGCTGCGGTCCCTGCTGCGTCCCCCCTGACCACCGCCGATGCCGCCTCCTCGATCCGTTCTTCCGCCACACGCTCGTTTCCCTCGGGCTGCTGAGGCTCATCGACTGCTGGCGTACCGATTGCTGTCTCATCGACTGCTGTCGTGGTTCAGATACAGCGTCGCAGGCAACAGGAGGCCCGCGCGAGCGGGGTGGACGGAAGAAATGAATAGGCTGCGGCTATTAGAATCGGCATTGTACCTGGCACACTGTATCCTAGGGAGCTATTTACTACATGTAGACTTAACTCCACCACTGGACAGACAGCTACACACCTACCACAACAACAACACAACAACACTGTCTTTCACTCTCCAAACAAAGCAAGCGTTGCCACGGAAGGTTAGGGTTAGGGTTAGGGTTAGGGTACCGAACACGTGAACATGAGTGACTACATCCCACACGTTCGCGGCGCGCTCACACGAGGAACGGAGAGAAAAAGGAGAAGAGGAGGAGGAGTAGGTAGAGGGCGATGGCCCAGAGCGAAAGACCACACCCGAACGAAACGCAGGCGTATCCGGAATGAACACCACGGAGCGCCTGGTTACGAATGACGTGACTTTCACGAAAGTCTCCGTTGTCTCCTGGTTTCCGTGGCGACGCTTGCTTCTATTGGAGAGTGAAAGACAAATTTTCATCCCCAGGTAATTGCCGAACTGCGCAGACTCAAACCACAGGGAGAGCAGACAGACATCCTCCCCAATTCACCTCCCCCCTGCCCCCCGGTGCGGTACAACTATATCTCACTCACCCCTACCCCTGTGAGCGAGCGAGAGAGAGAGAGACTCCGCCACCAAGTGGTCTCGCTCCTCGGCCTTCTTTCTGTCTCTCGCCGTAACCCTCGACTGGAGCTCCGCGTGCTGAGCAATCTTTGCCCTCACAGAGCGCGAGTCCATGAGGACGTCGGAAAGCCAGCGGAGCACGCACAGCGTCTCCGAGGACGAGAGGTCGCCGCAGCCGCGTCGGGAAAGAGTCTGAATAACGGTCGCAAAACAACGAAGCAACAAGGACGGCAAGCGGTTTCGAACAAGAGCTGCAACCTTCGTCGAGACAACAAAAACGAAAGTGAAGCAAGCACACGTGCACACAAGAACAGACGTTTTGTGTTTTGTGTTTTGTGTTTCGTGTGTGTTTGTTCGCATGTGTGTTTATAGCCAGCAGGATGTTCGCACAGCACGTCCACATCTATGCTGAGGGGCAACGAAGCGCGGCGGACAGCGGAGTATTAAACTCCCTGGCCACCGTAAATCAGCCCTCTCTCGAGAAGGGTGCTCAAAGCTGAACGCCAGCAAAGACAAGCCTTCAAAGTGTGGCGGTCTACAATTTGCGGGTACGTACTCGCCCGTACACGAAGTCCCACCGGACAGAAGAAAGGTGCTACCATTTCCCAAGTCGGATGTAGAGGAAGCTGTCCTCACAATCAACGTCTCATACCATCTTTCCGCTCGTGTCTACGCTGACGGCAAACAAACGGTCACTTCACTCGTTCTCCACCACATCCGTGGGAAAGCCCGTCTGGCCATCCACTTCCAAGAAGAGGCAGCAAAAAATGAAGCAAATCTATGTTCCGTGACGAATACAGGAGATGTACGGTATGCACACGCACAGGTCTGCAACCTCATACAGTAGCCATGATGAATACTCTTGTGTAGGAATGAATGACCAAAGACGCAAAGACCTCACCAAGCGAGCACGAATCGGACACAAATGAAAAGCAATCACCACAATACACAGTACTACGAGAGACAACTAGAGCAGACATCACCTCCACCGCGGTAGCAAGCGGGTGGCCTTCATCGACCCCCTCCCCCCTCCCTCTCCCGTGCCTCGAGAAGAGAGCGCGGCTGTACCGCAAGTAGGCCATAGCGAACCGTCGTAGAACCTCGGGCCATGTGGCCGGATTGAGAAGATCTCCCAAGATCCTTCGGACAGGCGCCTTGCGGTCAGTGGGCGGTGGGAGAGTGGGCGGTGGGAGGGTGGGCGGGTACAATGTAGGATAACATCCCAGCCTTCGTTGAAGGGTGTATGCACATCTTCACGTGCTGTTGGTGGTCCACTTGTTCCTCCTGCCTTCGCTGTGCTATTTGAAACCGATCAACATGACCGCTGCAACGTGTCTGCATGCTTGTTGCCAAATGGACTCTGTACGATACAATTCAGAACGTTTAACTGCTTAATCGTCGAATGAATCACAATCACCATCGACGCCATGACCGCCTCGGCTTCTCCGCAAGGCAATCCATCCGCTTTCCTGCCCAGAGCTTCTCGCAGCAGCGCCAAGTGTAATCCTGGCAACAGAACACGACACGAGCAAATCCATATAACAGGTGATCAGGGTAACACCGTACATCGAAATATTACGAGCACACAGGAAAGTAATGAAACTCAGACCTGCATATCTAGGTGAAACTCTGTGAGACATTTTGCATTGCACAGCGTTCAGCGTCCTTGGGTGGATCGTCACTCTTGCCGCTGCCTGACGCCCTCCAGCAAAAAACACGCTGGGAAAACGGGGAGGGTGGAACTAAAGTCACGATAAAAACCGTGCTGACGTAGACGATACAGCACCCAGTGTCACCTCTTTCGCGCTCAAGAAAGAGAACACAAAATTTGGTCGTCACAGACCGCCAGAAAAGTTTCAAGAAACATCACAACCCCAACCACTATGACCACCACAATGATCATCACCACCATCAACACAGTAGCAATATTCGTCACCATCAACACCACCACCAGCAACAACGTTTCTGCTCTAATGTCGATTTCACGCACCTGCGATGAGGGGATGCACGCTCTTCTTGCTCTCGAAAGTGTTGTTGCTGCTCCAGAGGACAGCTGTCTCGAACTCCTCCAACGTCAGGACGGAAGGTTCTTTCAAATGAAGCTCCTGCCCAAACGTCTTTCGGATACAAAAAACGACGATTGCAAACGTCAAAATGAGGTTCGACAACGATAATGGCAACGACGACTGCCGCAGGCAAAAATTGCGGAGGCAGAAAAACTGTTGTGCGAGAGAGAGTAGTACAATGTTTGAAAAGGTGGAATGACCACTCAGCCAGCAACAGAGAGAGCCCCAAAACATGCGACCAACAAAAACGTGCAGCAAAATAGCAGCAGTGAGTGCAGTGAGCGGCCTTCGCACAGTACCACCAACACGACACAAAACAGACAAGACAGGTATCATGGTGAGAGGGGCGCGCAGAACGGCAAAGAAGCACAGAACACGCGCGCCTCTTCCGCGGCCGGGACCTTCCATCAAAACCCCCCCAAGGCGATAGCACGACATAAGAGAGGGAGGAGGGCTACTAAGGCTACACCACCCCCAAGACAAACGCCTTCCTGCCCGACCAAGCAAGCACCTTGAGGAAGTCCCACACGGTCAGCAGATCCCCGACCGCCCCGGCTGGGACCCGTAACCGATTTACAGGGGTTGGTCGCGGCGGCCTCAGCGGCGGCTCGGCCGTGGCGCCGTCACCCGTCTGCGCCTCCTGCTCCCTCGCATGCAAGACGCCATCCTCGACGAGATCCAGCGCTTGGCTCCTGCTCACCCTCGACCCCTTCGGCCCCCCCCCCCCGCCCCCAGAGTTGCTGAACCCCCCACCGTCGATCGTTTTCGGTGTTCGTCCTTTCGATCTCCCCGTCGGCCGCTTGATCGCATTCGGCTTGGGTTCTTCTCCCGCCGCCCACGCCAGCTCCCCAGTCCCTTCCTCCTCCGTGACCGTTTCCTTCACGCCATGCGAGGGGGCGCCGCCGCCGTCACCGCCGCCGTCACCTACAAGACGCGGCGTTGATGGCCCGGGGGGGGGCTCCCGAGCACCCGGAGATGATGCTATCCGCTTCCGGTGTTGCGTGTGGAGCGGGTCCAGGAGCACTGCGGTCATCGTCGGCCCCCGTGTTGGTGTGTGGGTTTTTTACGCGTGCCGAGACAACAGTCATCTCCGTTGTCGTTGTCGGCTTGTCGCCGTTGTCGCCATCGCCGCCACCACGGTAGCCGCTACTGCCGCCGCCGCCGCCACACAGAGTTGATTCCCTTTCCGCGTCGTCCATTCTAGTTCCGGCGATGGCAGTGGTAGCAGCAGCAGCAACAGCAGCAGCAGCAGGCCTTGCATCAGGGGCAGGATGAGGGCTCCCGCCGCTGGTGGTAGAGCTGTTCTTTCTTCCCCTCTTGTTGGGCTTGGTGGGGAGACCGAGATTGAGAGCTCTCGCGTAATCCGGTGAAATCCGATAGTTGGTTCGAACTTGGACCACCTTCCCTTCTTCAAGCGCCTGAGTGGTCACACACGGGCAAAGCCAACCGGGGCGAGAAGATTTCACGCGCGTGCGGCAAGAACAGGCGAGCACGGCAGAAACGAAAAACCACAAAGCGGGGAGACAGGGCAAACAAAGTATTTTCACCTGCTCGCACGTGACATGAGCATTGCAGGACTTGATACGTTACGGAGAGGGGAAAAACATGCCCAGGTACGTCACCATGCCTGCACTTTTGCTCAACACAGACCGAGTTTCGATTCCAAGAACGTGCGACCAGAGGGACGGGCAGCCGTCCAACTGTATCGTCTCTCCCACACATGGCGCCGGCGGCTCTCACGTAACCCCAACCCTCCCATGCATACAATATACTATCCCACCAAACCATCGGCCCACCTGCTTCACCCCGGCGGCGACGTTAGCCTTAAACTTAGCCTCGTCCGGAGGAGCAGCCATCCACCCGTACCGGCTGCTCGACTTCAGCCACTTAACGGTCGCGAGTTTGCTCGACCCTCTCGAATCGGACAAGGCGTGTAAGGCCTCGACCACCATGTCCGGGAACGAGGGCGGCTGCAGCTGTTGCTCTTGTTCTTCCCCTGGCCGCCTGCTGCTGTCACCATCGCAGCTACCCCTGGCGCTTCTCATGACATCGCCAGACCAGGGATTCGCCTCGGTGCTGCCATTACCGCCACCATCACCACAATCGCCACCATCGCTACCACTGGCACTACTGCTATCCCTGCTTCTCTTACCTCCGTCAGGAGAAGCAGCGCGCTCCACCGGTACAGTCGAACCGATCGTCAATCCCGACTTGGATTTGGCCGTGGTAGCGGAAGCGGAAGCAAAGGGCAACGGTGAAGGCCTCGACAGCATCAGGCCCCCTGGTGTCCGCTTGCCGCTGTCGCTGAGGCCGCTTGATGGTGCTGCTGCTGCTGCTGCTGCTGCTGCTGCTGCTGCTGCTGCTGCTGCTGCTGCTGCTGCTGCTGCTGCTGTGGACGTTTCCGTCGGGGCTGGTTTCTTCTTAGGTGGGCGACTCCTGCCCCTTCCTGACGGCTTGCGCCCTTTTCCTTTCCGCGCCTCGTACTCCTATTTGTTTTTGGAGGGGGCGGAAGGGAAAACGTCACAAAAAGAATGACACGGATGACGATACCAATCACACACATGGCGTTGGCGTATACATGAGGGAGAACATCAAGACGTGCGGTGACGATCTGAAAAACGACGCTCAAAACAACGCTACGTGCCATCGAGTCAGACGGGGACACATCGTTGCCCAATTGAAACAGCCGAATCTGGCACAAACGAGAAAATGCATATAAAGGCAGCGGAATAGTGCGACCGCCGCTCCCATCCTACGCTAGGCAGTTGGTGGACAAGGCAGGGTGCGACAAACCGCAAAGTTCGGCACGACCCACGTTCACACCAACTCGTATGTGTGTGTGTGTGCAAACGTCAAACGAGCTAAAAGCTTAATGGGAATCACGCTGAGAATTGCAAAGAATCAACTACGGCTGCTTGGTCTTCAGGCGAACGCACTCACATCACATCACGAGGTGCTGTGAGACATCGAAGCTAAAGAGGTCTACGAGTCAGAAGAGGAATTGCCAGTCACCACCATCATTCCAGACAAACACCATCAGCACCGGCAGCATCACCAGCAATTTCAGGAGGACGACCCACAAGCACCAAGATTCTTCTCATCATGGAAGGGCTCGTGCTAACGAAGAGAATAACACGGGAACCTTCTGCTCAGTCTCTTGGGTGCCCCCCTATCCGGGCAGCCTGTGGACTAGAAACCTCTCTACGGGCACAATAGCCTTATTGTTTGTCTCCCTGCCCTAGCATACGATTCATGAATTTTCTGTTTGTTCTTCCTTTTTTCCATCGGCCATCCAGCCTGCTAGCGCGACCCATGCTTGGCAAGGAAACAAACACAAATGAGGACCACTGTATAGATGGTACTGTACCTTCTTGAGCTGCATCGCCTTTTCGGTGACGCGAAGCACGTCCTTGACTTGGACCATCTCGTCCGACGCTCCCTTCGAGGTGCCAGTGAACCGAGCCTTAACCTTACCTGCCGCGGTGGCGGCCTCGGCCTCTCCTTCTTTCGGATTGGAGTGCTCGCCGAGATTCGTCTGTGAGGTGTATTGTCCATTCAAGGGGGGCAGCGGAAGGGTGGGTGGAGGGTTAACGCCAAGCTATCATATGTACTCGGGTACGTGAGTGCGGATGCGGGTACTGTAGTTTATGGTAGCCGTGGAAATGAGGGTTAGGAGAGAAACTAAAGCTTATCACGGCCATGGGAAGGACTGAGCACGGACCTATTTTTGCGTAGGTTCGGAGGGAAGGAAGCGGAAGTATGAGATTTTTTTGAAGTATCTCGACCACCAATATTCTATGCGTACATCTAGTCGAAATGTGCGAGGGTTGGGAAATCGATTGCGCGTTTTGGGTCAGCGGGGGATGCCGCTTGGAAGAAGGAACGTGGAGAAACAATGAAGGAAACATTCTTCCGTGCGTGACACCCACGCTGTTGCGTCAACCTAGATGTCATCGACTGACGGTGAAAAATCTGGGTTCTGGACAACCCATCAAGTATTTACACCAGTCATACAGTCCGCTGCACCGGTTGGTTGTCGAAGCGTGATTTCTCCCAACAGTCAAAATCAAACTGTACATACCCGTACATGCGTAGAAATTCGGAAAGCCCTAGCCGAGGCGGTTATTTACACCAGTCATACAGTCCGCTGCACCGGTTGGTTGTCGAAGCGTGATTTCTCCCAACAGTCAAAATCAAACTGTAAATACTCGTACATGCGTAGAATTCGGAAAGCTCTAGCCGAGGCGGTTTCAACACCGCCTATCGGCACAGTACCACTTGTTCTGTTGTGGAGTAACCGAAAAATCGGCCCAGGGCTGTGTTCTGTGTTCTGTCGCCTATGAATACGGTACGTGACAACACGCACACCTTTGCCTTAGGGAGTCAGTGCGGTGTACGTGTGTGAGAAAAACGGTAATCTATGCAGTGCAGCTGTACAGTACACCAAAAAAAAAAACAGGATTTACTCGGTAACGTTTTTTTTGGCGGACAGGTTGTCGGGGGTAATGCCATTTGGCGGTAATCGTTTTGGCGATAGGCGTTTTTCGGCGGTAACGACTTTGGCGGGGGCGGTAGAACCAAAAAAACGGCGAAACAACGGCGGATTACCCGGACCGCCCACCACAGCGGAAAAATTACCGAGAAAAGCCGTTGACAAAACACAAAGGAAAACATAACACACTCCATGGACTACAGAACGCGCCACCACTTAAGAACCGCTTATTTAGCTTGAGGATCGACGCTCATTGGTTGCTTCCAATCGAGCACGTGTTTTCATTTGCCAAGTTCTTATTTGGAACAGGCATCCACCTATGAGAAAAGGGGCTTCATATTTCTATGACAACCGATTGCCCTATGCAGAGGATACAGGTCTTTTCTGGGCGGATGTCATCACGAGACACTACTGATGCAAGTGTACAACATAGTCGAATAATCCCCTCCTAGACGGCAGACCGCATGCATGTATGTACCGTACGGGAAAGGAGAGGTTGCCGAGAACAGCCTAGGAGGCGGAGTGGGTAAACAAGAAGAATGGGCTTTCCAACCTTCGGAGTGGGGTTATGTTGTAGACGACGCCTGGAAGGGAATCGATATTGACGAAGGCGATACACTGGAAACGCAAGGTCCTAGAGGGCTCAAGGAGGAGATATCTGTTGCTGTTGCCGAGAGAGAAGAACATAACCTAACCAAAGAAACCAAGGACAATGAGGGTCTGCACGTGTACGGAATGTTGAAGAAAGGAATATCATGGACCAATGGATGAAGGGACAAAGCTGAAAGTCAAATTTGGGACTGGGGACATTGGCCTTCGAGAACGTAGACCAAGATTCGGGAACGTAGACGAGGAAGACGACAATTCTACATGCGAATGCGGCTCCGAGTGCGAAGACCATGTTCATGTAGTTGCGGAATGTCCGTTGTACAAGGAGAGGGAAACGCACATGATAAGTGAGCTGGGAAATGTACAAGGACAAGGTACGAGACAGGTTTTGAGACATGGAATAGTCAGCACAAGATGGTAGCTGTACTGCGGCACAGAAAATGGGTTGAAAAGGCGGGAACTGATATCGATAAGACAGAAAGACTACGGAAAACATTTTTGAGCCACCATTCAAACGATTCGCCATCAGTGATCGGTCCCGTGGGAACAAGGCTGCGTCCTGTCGAGGACGCGTGGTCAATGGTCTAACCGTTAGGGCATCCAAAATATGAAAGAGAAAGCGCGCGCGCGAGAGAGAGAGACAGAGACAGAGACAGAGAGACAGAGAGTACGCGCCCCCTCCGGATCCCTCTCCTACGATCGGGAAGAGGCGTAAGGAAGCTAATTGGACAGATGTACCGTATTGTGTACGACATGGGAGAGGAGAGGTTGCCGAGAGAAGCTCGGGAGGCGAAGAGGACAAACAGGATTAGGGGTAAACAACCCAGGGAGTGGATTAAGGTTGTAGATGACGTACGGAATAGTTCAAAATCGATGAGGTTGACATTGGAAACGAACCGTAGGTATCCGGTTCATTGGAAACGAACGGTAGGTCTATCGGGGTTCGAGAACAAGAAATCTGCTACTTTGCCGAGAGAGAACACACCCCAACAAAAGGATCCAAGGATTAGGAGGGTCTGGGTGTGTACGGATGTTGAAAGAAGGAATAGGTACCTACATGGACCAATTAATGGAGGGGCAAAGCCGAGGGTCAAAATTGAGACTGGGGACAACGGCATTTGAGAACGTTGACGAAGATTCGGGAAGGAAGACAATAAAGACGACAAGTTCAATCAAATGTGCATGCGGCTCCGAGTGCGAAGACCGGTTTCATGACGTTGCGAAACGTCCGTGTTGGGCGACAAGGGTAGAGACATGTACATGGCTGAGTTGGACACGTAGAAGGAAAAGTACACAGGGATATGCTTGAGGCATGGAATAGCCAGGAGAAGACGGTAGCTGTACTGGGGCATAGCAAGTGGGCTGAAAGGCGGGAAGTGGTACCGAGATACGTCGACTATTAATAGGGAATATGTTATTGAGTCACCTTTGGCAAAGTACCTCGAAGTATATAGGAAGCAATATTGGCCATCGGTGATCGTTCCTGTGGGCACAAATATGCGTCCTCTCGAGGACGTGTGGTCAATGGTCTAACCTCTATGGCATACGAAACATGAGAGAGAGAGTACGTACAATCAATTTATCACGAGGTATTCTGCCCCCCCCCCGCCTCGAATATTATTACGTACTTCGAAGTATGTAGGAAGCAATGATCGGCCNCCCCCCCCCCCCCCCCCCCGCTTCGAATCTGAAACAACCTGCTGTTTGGGTCACCCCCAACCGTCCTGTGTTCTCATCTTGCAGCCGCCGCGTATTGGAGCTCCATTCTTATTTGTATGCGCATTGGTACACCATGAGGGCGGGTTCTTGTTCTTAATGCCACGTCGGAACTGAGCACCTGTTCGTATGACCAAGTTCTTATATTTGGATTGTTTGAGGCTCAAGTTCTTAACTTTTCAGTTCTTTAGACTACAGTACAACGTTTAGGTGTTCCTCTTCGGGCTCTTGGATACCTTTTTCTCGTTATATGTGTGCGTGTTCATTAGATCCTCAGGGCCGTTTTAAACGGACCGACTCTTTGTCAAAATTTTTGAAAGTGTCAAAAAAATGAAACCTGTATGTATGTGGGCGTTTGTCCATTTTTTTCAAAAATATTTGGAACGAAGTTGGGCGCGAAAACTTTGCTCCACTTCGTTCCAACTTTTTGACAACCCTCTCAAAGTATTTGGAGCACTTTCCAAAGTACCCTTGCAGAGGCACGCGAGGGCTGCTGCGTCTGCACCACGAGTGCCCCTCACCGTAGAAAGTCAGCTAGGGTTGTGTGTGAGTCATGGCCGACCGTAGAAAGCGCGGCGCGCCTACAGATTCGAGCGGCTCTCCTCGCCCACGGGCACGCGCTAGGCCAGCACACACCCATGTCCTCAAGAAGCTGAAGGCAGCAGTGGCAACGGTGCTGTTTNCATGGCCGACCGTAGAAAGCGCGGCGCGCCTACAGATTCGAGCGGCTCTCCTCGCCCACGGGCACGCGCTAGGCCAGCACACACCCATGTCCTCAAGAAGCTGAACGCAGTAGTGGCAACGGTGCTGTTGCTGACTGTCGTCACATCGACTGTCACTCAGCGCTTTGCACCCAAGGCGCGGCAACCCATCCACGAGCCGCGACGCCTGGATTGGGAAGAGCACGTGAAAGACGTGAGACGCAGGAAGCTGTTCCGACGCATGTACAGGATGGAGGAGCACAGTTTCGACAAGCTGGCGGAACTTCTGCGACCCATCCTCGAGCGCAACGACTACAGCGCAAGTAAGAAAGACGCAACACAGAGTACGCCCGCGCGTGAGAGAGAGAGAGATAGAGAGATAGAGAGTATTTTTAGTTAGGCCTGTCCTGCTGCTGTCGCGAAAGCAGCCGATGGTCTGTACTTATGTCTCCCGACTGATCTCCGGAAGAATTTTGAACCGCAACAAAGACAGCAATACGCCGCAGACGACGCTGTTGTACGGGAGGCGATGCGCATAACAAGAAGGAGCGGTGGACTCGTATTGCGTGGGCTTGGGCTGCGAACTTATGTGCGTTTTTTCTTGCCCGACTCTTCTTGTTCGCGTGATGCAGGGTTGCGCACGAGTAGTGGAGCTGTGCCGGTGAAAATTCGGCTGGCTGTGGCGTTGCGCATGTTCGCCGGGGCGTCATACATCGATGTCGCTCTGCTGTTCGGCATTGCGAAGGAGTCCGTGTTTAACGTCATGTGGCAAGTGGTGGACGCCATCAACAACACGCCGACGGTCGGGCCGTTCTTTTTCCCCCAGACAGTGGAGGAGTGCACCCGGCAAGCCAGGGAGTGGGAGGTGGGTGCACGTGTCTTTGTTCAACCCACCAGGTGTGGTTTTCTTGCTGCGGTTTTCTTGCTGAAGGTCTCTAGTTGGTATCCCCGTAAACCTCCTAGCAGGCAGGTCATGGGTTCGATTCCCCGCGGTTGCGACATTTTCTCATATTATGAGTTTTTTCTGTCGCATTCGTTCTTGCCAGTGGAAAGCGCGAAGCGTGTGTACACAGTGGGAAAAGAGGTGGCTGATACTCTTCCCGCAATAAAAATATCAGTCAGTACCGCAGAGGGAGGGAGTGGGGGCCTCAGGGAGAGGAACCTTCTGTGTGACCACGGATCAGATGTTCTGACAAGATGCCCTGGGTGGCAAGGCGTCCTTCGAACTCTGGATACATGTGAAGACAAAAAAAAAAAATCAGATGTAAGTGACGTAAAGGTGTTTGTAGTCAAAGAACGACTCTATTTTACAGAGTGGGCGCCTGTGTGTTGAATCAGAAATTATGTGCGGCTTCTCTACCTAGTCCAACCCTCTCCAAACGCCGGGCACTGCTGCCGATAAAAGATGCATTTCACCCAAAAGAGTCGCTGACATCCCTTGCGTCGAAAATTTCTGCAATATTTTGTATGCGGGTCAGGGTTCGACCCCGGACTTCTGTTTCGTCCGTCGAAAAGGTAGAAAGCGAGGCCACTGCTGCAGCACCGTAGGCGATGCCGCTGATGGCATGTGCCATTCTTTTGGCGTCTGTCCGTACTCATACTCAGGTTTTGTTTTCAGTTGGAGACGGGTCACACAAATGCAGGAAGCTGATTGAATGTCCCACAGCGGCGTACTGAAGGCTCAAAACATGTCGCTTATTGTGCCCCGCGCACCCCCCGCGCTCACCCCTTCCCACCGCCCGCGCGCTCTTCACCGCTTCGCCGACTCTTCCTCTTTCCGAAATATCCATCCCTTTCTTAGGTCAAAAGCACCGGCGGCGCATTCGCAGGGTGTGTGGCTGCCGGAGATGGCCTGTTCGTGAAGACATTCGCCCCAACCGTGGTGAACACCCCGAATGTACTCTCCTTTTTTTCGGGTCACAAGAACGGGTACGGCTTGAACATCCAGGCGACCTGTGATGCCAACTACCGCTTCTGCAGCATGTCGGCCATCGCGGCCGGTTCGACGAACGACTGGACCGCGTGGAATCGCTCGGAGCTATCAGACTCGGTGGCGCGCCTACCGCCCGGCTTCTACATGCTAGGAGATGCAGCGTACCCCCTCAGCGATCAACTCCTCACGCCGTACCCAGGGAAGTTGCTACCTCGAGACCAGGACGCCTTCAACTTCTACCTCAGTCAACTGAGGGTGAAGATAGAGCAAGCTTTCGGCATCCTCGTTGGGCAGTGGGGTATTCTGTGGAGGCCGTTGCGGGTTCAGTTCGCTGGGCGCAGCGGCCTCATCACTGCCCTCTTTCGCCTGCACAACTTCCTCTGCGATGAGAAAGTGAAGCCTGTCCACATGACCGAAGAGGATGGGGACTCCGCGCGCGACCGCCCCAACCTGACAGAAGAGGACACGCTTCCGGAAGATTTCCAGACGGCCTCCAGGGGCACGCCGACCAGGTCGGGCGACGTCGCCACCCGTATGGCGCTGAGGATGACGCTGGACAACAAGCGGCAGTACCGCCCTCTCCACAACGTGGTGCGCAACGAGGCACGGGGTTCGTAAAGGGCTGGAAGGCGAGAGCGGAGCTGTGCGGACTGGACTCGATCGCCAATGGGCTGGCCGCGACCGGGTGCTTGAAGGGGGGGAGGGGGGAGAAGGGGCGGGGCAGAACGTGAAGATGGGGGGGAGCGACAGACCAACGTCTTGGGGGTCGCCAGGGGGGGGGAGCAGGGGCATGGTGAGGGGGGGTATACATGTAGGGTTGGTGGGGTGCGGCGGGGTCGTCGGCGCGAGTCGCCTGCCGCTGGGAGGACTGAGATGGGTTTGTGGTTTTTGTCTTTGTGTGGATTGCGGTTCTCTTGTGTGGCGTTGGGATGGGAATGGATGTAGTAGGTGTTTTGTTCCGACTTGGTGTTGTTTACAGTACCTGTTGTCTCTCGTGTGATAATGAGTAGTTGTGTTGCGCGGGGAGCCAGAAATAGTGCTCTTTGTTATCTCTGCCCTACAGATGAAGATTTTGTTTTCGCCGCATGTATTGTTGTTCAGTTGGACACACAGCAACGTGGCGGAAATTACGTGTACTCCCTCTTCGGTATTTTTAATGGTTTTCTAGAAACGTCAGCGGTTTACGTCCAGCCTGCGAAAAATTGGTTCCAGGGGGGACTGTTGTGTACGCACTAAACCCTTCCCCAACCATCCCCTCTCACAGTCTCAAAATCCGCATTCCGTTGTAATTTTTGGTTGTCAGTGTTATTTAAGGAGGGACGGTATTTAAGTATACCGGATGTTAACTTATTTTTGTGTACCCTTCGTTTCCTGCGTGTGTTTTCTCGAATGTGGACATGGCTCCAGCACTTTTGTGACCACGGGCCGTGAGTTGCTAAATTTTGGGATAGCAACTTCGATTATAGGAATTCATGTGATGAAAACAACGAAAAACTAAAAATTTGCGCCGAGACGATCCCTGAAACACTCATCATGGCGACGAAAGCCGCGATGGACATGGGGGCGAGCTTTGAGCCTGGAAAGCTGCTGCCGTCCGGCAAGAAGTCGTACACGGCCGCCGCCGTCTTGGCTGTGATCCAGGAGCGAGCACAAGCCGAAGGGGGCGACCAGAGCACCGCATCGCGTCGAAAGAGCAGGCACTGCGTCCCTCGGCTTTGTGAAGTCATCGCACGCCCCGAGAATCGCGCGCGGTGGGCGGAGCACCGGACGCAGCTAACCAAGCAAGAGTTGGACGCCAAGGTGACAGGCAGGACCCGCCAAGTCCTACTCGACGTTTGGAACCAGTTCAAGGACAAAGGACTGCAGGTGAGACTTGGTTCATGTGCAAGCTGTACTCCCCAGTGTTTGCGCTGCAGCAGTTAGTGTCGTTCGTTAAGGCGAAGGAGGCGGTGGTTGCCCACGTGGGGTTTGCTGTTGTGGTATTTGTGGCGTTGTAAACGAGTCACTGCAGCAAGTAGAAAACGGAGGTGCTCCCGCAGAAAAACCGAGCACAACAATTAATTATACAACAGCCCCCCCCCCCCCCCCTTTATTCGCAGGCTAGCGGTCGTATACCGCTGACGTTTTTATTCAAATGTTAACAATTAACATTTGTCGAGCAGTCTTGTATCAATGTACGTACGTGTTTGGTTTCGGAGGGCTAAGATAATAATGAAAGACGGACACGCCGTATCCCAACCTCGTGTGATTCGTGCGAAAACCTTCCAGGTCCCCTCCACCTTCGCCGACGACGACCGCGTGATGGCCGCCGGCATCGACCCCAACGTCGTGCACCAGCCGGACATTTCTTACGACAAGTTCATGACGATGAAGAACGACCTCGTCAAGGACCACGGCGACATGTACGGAAACTTCAAGAAATCTGGAAGCATGGGAGAGATGTACGAGTTCTGCAAGGGTGAGTTGATTCCCTTTTCGGTTCTGATGCGTCTGGGTGGCTTGTCGAACGGGAATTGATCCCCCTACACTCTGTCCATGTCGGCGATCATCGAAATATGGCGGCGGCCCGTGTAATTTGTTTCGATATATGCCCTTCTCGTTGTCGACTTAAGCACGCCGTGGTTGCATGCCGCGACGACGGCTCGTTGTGCATTGGGGAGTTTATCGGTGCCTTTACAGCAGCTGTAGCGTTTTAGACGCAACATCAAACCAATCCCTTGAAAACGCTTGCGTGAATCAACACGCAGCAGCACGAGAACATGCTCGCGGGGTTGGTTCAACTTCGGATGGAACGGGGTGAACTACTACTGTCCTCACTTTGCTCACGGAAGTAAACGTTGTGAGAAAACTACACCCGCATCCCCGAGCTCCGCTACGCCCAACCCCACGTGGCCCGTTCGTACGTCGCTGTTCAGCGAAGATATTATCATGGTGTTCCTGTGCGTGTGCTTGTTTTTTTTGTCTTGTTTTTTTCTTTGCCTTGTCCCTCCCGGCGAGTTCGTGAAGACGGGCAAGAGAATGTCGATGAGGGAGAAACTCAAATCCAAGACAAGTTGGGTTCATTGTTGTGGTGAAAGAACTCCTCATGCTTGAAGCACGCACGAACCTCACCCCCCGTCCCACCCCCCCTCTCCACACCACTACCGCGCGCTGACCGCAATACGCAAAATTTCAGGAAGGCTGGACACGTACTACTACGGCCTCATGGTCACGCAGTACCCTGAGATCGAGCAGGCAACCACCCAGATGCTCCCTGACGGCACGGAAAGGGAAAACACGGGGGTCGGGGGGGCGGCAGGCGGGGAGGGTGGCCCCGACGCAGCCGCGGCCGACGCCAGGAGGAGGACAGAGGCCAAGGCGGGCGCGAAGGAGAGGAGCGTCGACCTCAGCAAGGAAAAGAAGAAGAAACAGAAACAGGAGAAGGATATCGAGCACGTCACGAGGGTTGCCATGACGGCGGCGAAGGACACACTGGGTCTTGGGGCGGGTATTGGATCGCTGCTGGACATGTCTTCCGGCCCTTCCGGCCTCAAGTTCGACGACGCCCCCACCTCCTTCTTCGACACCATCGAGGGGTGCGATACCAAGGCCAAGAAACTCGAGTTGTCCTCTTTACTCCGCAAAGAACTTCAGGACATCAAGGCGAGCATCAGGAAGGAGAAAGCGTTGGGCTCGGAGGCTGACCCGGAGGACTTGGAACTTATGGAATTGGAGGCCAATAGGGTGAGGGTCGCCCTAAGGAAACAGTTAGCGGAAGCCCTATGAGTTTGGTGCGGTGATGTGGTCGGGGCTGTGACGGCAGGGAGAGCGGAGCGAGGGCGGGATAGCAGGGGTGGGGGGTGGTGGGAAGCGCTGTTGTAGAGACTGCACATCTGTTGTGCCTCCTTGTGCCTTTTCGCCTCTCTCTGTGTCTCGCTGTTGGGTGAAGGAAATGTTTATCGTTGAGTGATGGCTTTTTACCATGCGCGTGATATGAAGAAGCCGCAGCGAAGACAGTGCAGTAGCGGTGGGACATGATTTGTTATGTGGTGGGGGGCCAACTTCAGTTTTCTTGACTGTTTTTTTTTCTTGTTGCCACACCAGATGCACATACTTGTAGGGCCGGGCGAGAGGTACCTGATGCAACCCCGATGTGGTAGCGTGCCATTTTGAAGCGCCTTATTTTTNCGGGCGAGAGGTACCTGATGCGACCCCGATGTGGTAGCGTGCCATTTTGAAGCGCCTTATTTTTCCTTGGCGTTGACTACGGTAGTTGCCCTCGAATTGGCTAGGGTTTTATTTTGCCATTCTTTATCTCCTGGGTTGTTGTCTAGCCGCAGCACGAAGGCTTTGCTCAAACGCCTACCCCGATGTATTTCTAGCTTTGTTGTACTTGTATCTGTTGTTGTCATGATTTGTTGTTCGGCAGCTTCCCGCCTACAGACAAGGGTTAGTGAAACTCGTTTTTTTTTGTCGCCCACACAGCGGGTGGTGTTGACGGAGGCAGCAGCAGACCGGGTTTTCGAGCAACTGTCAAGGAAGGGGGAGGAGATGTTTCCACGTTCTCGTTGCGTGGTCGGTTATCTGAGGTCCTTCGCCTAATGTTTTCTGCGCGATATAAGATCTATTTCGGCTACTCTCAACCGGCGGCGGAGATGTTCGTGTATGTTGGGGTGGCGGCAACTTATCGCCCTCGGTTGCTATACTTTGGNTCTCAACCGGCGGCGGATACGATGTTCGTGTATGTTGGGGTGGCGGCAACTTGTCGCCCTCGGTTGCTATACTTGCTGGTCATGAATCTGTTTTTGTTTTGAAGGGTTGGTGTTCAAGCGCCTACCGAGGTTTGTGAAGTAGTGTATTTGTTCATGTATTATCGTTGTCTTGATTTGATTTTCTGTAGCGGCCCTGCAAACACAGGTCAGGGCGGACGATATTCGTTTTTATGTATTTTAGACAGCCACAGCGGTTGTTCTTTTGCCGTGGAGGCCGAAGCAGACCATAACAAGAAGCAACGCCCAGGAANCTCCTCCAGCTTCGTGGGCCACGCTTTCCGTGACGGTGGTTGCCAGGTGCAGTTTGCCACTTTGCATTACTGCCGCGGGAACAGTGTCCATACACACCTCTCGCCACTACCACCGTCTGTGCATCCTCACCGCCACGCTGAGCCAGCGCGGCGGTGAGTTGCACCTTGGGACACCACCCACCTACTATCTGTTGTAGCCTGGTTCGCCCGCGAGGGACTAACAAGGTCGATTTCGGCCCCGGCCGGCCGGGGAGGGGAAGAGGTGTTTGTATCCAAACATGAACAATGACGCCCAAAAACAAACAAAATGTACACGTTGTAAGCTTATGCGAATAGTTGTCTGCGTTAGGTCGGCGTTTAGTTCTGCTACCATTGCTTCCATATACGGCATGGTGTTTGTTGCTTACATACGCACACAGCCAGCCGTGACACGCCGCCGGGGTATACATCATCGATCGACTCAGCGTAGTACATTTAGAGTAGTAGTTCAATACTGCTTTTTTTATTTTTCTCCAATCATCGGATTCTGTCGTCTGCCCCTCTGGCCCCTATCCTCCACTTCTACTAGCTAGACGACCCAACCGGGGTCACATAGGAGGGGGGGGGCTGGACCCCTCCTGCGGTTCCTGCCTGAGGTATTTTTATCGCGAGAAGGGTACAGCAATCCCTTCCCTCGCGACTTACGAGGTCGACTATGGTTTACTAACACTGAGCTTTGCAACGCGTCGCTTTCATCCTAGACCAGGATTTATTTAGTGAGATAAAAACTCACTCTGCCGGGACTCGCGAACCCATGACCTGGCCCTTTGCAGGCTGCGAGGTTACCCACTAGACCACCGGGGCGACCGGTGTCAGCATGTCGGACGGTGAAACCAACAGACAGGCGTGATGAGCAAGACGATCGATCTTGTTTCTGCAAGTCTTACCGACAGGGCACCACACGTACATACTATTTCCAGCAAGCAATATGATGCAAAATCTGACCATACTGCGATCACAGTCAATCCCCAAGAAAATGGAGCGGGAGACCGCTGTCCTTACGACGCACCAGCGGGTGAAACGCCTAGTGTACGCGATTTGGTTTTCTTTGCTCAAAGAATACAAGTAGCCATTACATTGCCGTGGGCCGCGACTGACTATACTTGCCTTATCAATTGAATTTAACACTCCTCGACGAGAGGCGAGCAGAAAACACGTCACGTCACGTCACGTCACAAGCGGTCACCGGCAAGATGCAACGTTTTTTTTCTCAAAAAGGATAGTCGAAACTATCCCCAACTGTATAGCATGTAGTGAATGGAACAAAAACTGCACTTTGCTTCAACAAAAAATGCCAAAGATCGCCTTCCTCCATCGCTCCAAACGTCATTTCAACCCCTTTCCTTAGGGGATCCATGAAAGACGAAACTTGGCAGCGATCTAGGCGAAAGTCTCATGGCTTAGTCAAATAATCCAACCTGCGCCAAAAGACGGTACGGCATCCTATCCCAAGAAACGTGGGATATTTTTGGCCGATGCACACTTCACTTATCATGCCGTGCAGCCTGTTCGTCAAGCGATTAACAAACAACTCGTGACTTGGTTGACCTTTCCTGCTCAATATTGCACTACCGAGATCGTACATACGTCGAACACGATATCATACATCCTCAACCTCATGCATCCCTCGGAAAAGATCGGCGACGAAAGGGGAGACCCTTCTTGTGCAATACCAAAACCAAAGTAAACCCACGTTCTTTCCAACAGACATCGGCGAATGATACACAGAGGAATACTCTAGACGACCCCCGACGCTCGCTATCGGTGTCTTCAAGGTCGGTCGTCATGTGCCTCCAAGGGCCCGCCAATAGGCAGGGCTGACTTGTCAATTGACTAATGTCAATGTCAAATCTCTGGAATTTGTATAGTTGCTCTCGCTACACCCTATTGGGATTGATAAAATGCCGAAAAACAAGGGGCTCGCCCGGAGGGATGTACCAAATTCAACAAATTGGCTGCACGACCCACCCCGACTTGGTAGAGCCCACATCGATTCACTGCCTGACTGTGACTGAGGGTTGAAAGATATTCGTGGCCGAATAGTGCCAGGGGGTCGTGACTTATGCGAATGTCCTGTGCGTACGATCCCCAGCCGCTACGCGGCGGATCGCGGTGCAATCGGTACAGGGATGCACGAACACCCCAACACAACTCTTAATTTTCCTATACTACAATCAAACGATCGAAGCATCAGACCGCTTCCATCAAGTTGCTCTGGTCAAGATGGGCAACATACATACACGAAAATACCACAGGAAGGAACGAACCGCTAGGATAAGGCCTCTCCAGGAAAAGGGGGGCATGTTGGACAGCCTCCCCTCAACGCCTTCCCGTCGCCGAATGCTAGTATGCAAACGTATAAGTTCGAATCTGCTCGTAACGAGAAGGATCGTTCAGCATCGCCTTCCATTGACCCCCCCCCCCTTCTGCCCTTCTGCATGGCATGGGAATTTTCACATGTTGAATTGAGAATTCTACGCGTGCACCAAAGTACACATCTTCAGCGAGCGGCCGCAAGAGAAGCCTGGCGGTTTTTGGCAGGCTGAGGTCGGTGAACACCCTCGCGCTGCACACGACCTAATCCATACCACTTACACGTCAACTGTAGAGGTGCATAAGTTCCAATTGCAATATTTTGGTGGCAGACGAATCTGTAGATTCATGCTCCGAAGCTTAGAAACAAGACTCATCCATGGCTTGTTTACACGAGGTCAATCGACCTTGTTAGGCCTCATGTCGAGAGTTCAACGCCTCGCAGCAGGCTCAGAAGCTTCTGCTGCTGCTGCTGCTTCTGCTGCCTTCTGTACCTTGGCGAGCTTCTCCCCGACATTCTTCTCGCTTGCATCCAGCTTTGTCTTCACCTCTGGCCGTGGCGTGAGGTACAAAAGGTTCCCTCGCTTTACGTACAACTGTTTCATCGAGGGAGACACATTACAAGGAATATGCAGGAAGAGAGCGGCAACGGAGACGATGAGGATCGGTACGTGTTTGGATGAAGTTCAGCGGAGCGCTTCAAACCCACGCAGCACAGATATTGTACTGGTATACCACGGAATGTCCGGATCATTACGCGATCAAGCCCAACGGGAGACACCCAAGTCTGGATAACATGAACGCGGCACCTCAGAGTAGCATGCGACTCCAGGACAAGGCTCAAGGGTTAAAAGCTACGGCCTGTTAGCCTTATGGGAACCGTAGAGGTGCACGGAGCGAACCAGTGGATACTGTACTGCACTGTAACGACAACGGTGTATCGACAACGGTGTACCTTGTCGTGGAAAATATCTAGAAGATATCCAAGCTGCGGCTAGTAGAGTCATGCTAGAAATGGCTTCATGAGTGAGTGCAACAACGGCAATCCTCCACACGGGAGGGATGGACGGTCCGGTATAATATTGAACCGTTCAAATCCGCAATGCACACCCACATGCGGGGACCGCCGATGCCCGCCGATTGTATGTAGTGGAATGGTGCTTGCTACCAAATCGGGACAGAAGGCCATGCCACGACCGAAATAGGCGCCGCGTGCTCAGGCTACCCCCCCCACACACACACAATTTGGCTAACCGTTCAGGTTGCTGTGCTTGAAGCAAGCCAGCGGCGAGAGGGAGAATTTCATAAGAGGGCCGTGGATCCGGAACATGTTGATGCTTGATGCGTGTACTGCTGTACTGCTGTACGACATCACTTCGTCGCGGCGGTGCGAAAGTTATTTACAGTGCAATGATACATAGAGGAGACACCGTGCGAGTTCCAAACTGAGGAAGACATCGCGATATCGCGTGGTCGCGAAAGTCAGTAAGGTTTCAGGCATTGGGCATTGGCAGGAAGGTTCGATCTTGAGGCTCTCGGTAGATTCCAATTTGTCGTCTTGCGCTGACCATCTCCGATAAAATCTGATCAAATCCTGCTGGAGCACAGCAATGTCCCAAGTCTCAAATTCAGGACAGCTCGAGAGCTGCCTCATCTGCCCTGCAAATCTCACCCCACAAGGGGCGCACATGGTTTGCATGTCATCACACCCCCCTCCCCCCCGTTCGGCCATGTGTTGTCTTGAAACACTGTACGACCAACAGCTACAATAAACCCGGAAGCTCAATAGCTCCAGCTACACGGGTTCAGACGTGTGTTTGATCTGTCGCTTTCGAAGAATGAAGGAGAACTACTTGTAGGACGTTTGCTCATCTGATTGTTGATTATTTACATCAAGGCGCGCTTGATCTCACGGGACTGTCAGTTTTCGTGCCTGTGGTGCCTGGCGGTACGCTGCATGTAGAGTACTGCTGTAGATTGTAGTGAATAACACCATGCATGGATACACGTGTCACACCAGAGGTATGACTGCAAGACGGGCAGCAGCAGGACGAGACTGACGGGTAGTATGCTGGCTTACACACTACGACGATGTGCCGTTATTCACAACGTAACGATAATTACGCCTGTTTGGTTCACCTGTCGTTGACTGTGCTCCACTTCGAACTTGGCAACCGCTATCTCTTGTAGCTGCGTGCTCAGGGCTGCTGATTTTGACACGGCGTACTCCCGTCTTGCCTCCTGTAGGTCGGCCATATCCTATCTCTGGGGCATTTAGAGAGAGAGACCGAGAGAGTCTTGTCGTGTGTCGTGTGCGTCGTGGTCATGCGGTACAATGCGTTGCCAGGAGCTATTTCCGCCGCATCTCTTCCGGGAATCTACGGAGCCACTAGGCAACAACGCTCATTCGAGTCTTGTCTGCTGCCCCTCCCACCTCCCGCTCTGTCGCTGACAAGAACACCGCAACCTCCTTGTGTAGCCATGAGCCGTGCCATCACGCAGCCGGTCAACCAGGTGCGTTTGGAGTTTCTTGGTTATTTGTTTGACAAGTTCCAGTCTGTGGCTCATGGAAAGCCTCGGCGCTGTTTGGTGTTTGGTGTTACCCCGAACCTTCTAGACTTTCACTGTTGGACTGCTGCTGTCACAGCCGACAACAGCAGTGTCCCCACGCTTCATTGTACGCCTTGATCACCGATCACCCGCAATCGGTAGTGTGGGCGAAGCATTGTGCGGTGTCGATCGCCTTCATTCGTTTCACCCAAAGTTCTTCTTGTAATAACCTTCACAACCAACCACAACGTTGCCAACGCAACATGCGCTCAGCGCATGGTCTAACGCGGGCACGGAGCAGATTGTGCGTTCAGAACGAGGTTGGTTGGCTTTGACATTGGTGCCGCCCGTGTTCCTTGCGCTCCCACTGCATACGGCACGGTACACCAAGCTTTAAATCTCGAACATTTTATTTCATTTTCTAAGGTACATACCGCCGCGGGGAACGAGAAACACACGTACCCGTAATCGTGGAGGCCATCCTGTTGTGTTTGGTGTCTGTCCAATAATCTACTCATGGCAATGCTGATAACCAGCGCCTGTATGGCGGGATGGGGGGGTGTTTGGTGTCTGGCCCGGTTGAACATCCCGACTCGGCCGCTAGGCATGCTTCTGCCGATGTCTGTATGACTGAAGCACATCCGGACGACCCCCCTGTTCAACCCCTTCCACATGGCATCGACACTCCATGTTTGCCTGCCCTCGAGGGATGTCTGGCTTGTTGACACATTGACCTTGATTTGCTGGGCAGCCCCTGGCGCAGTTGGCGCACAACTTGAATCGCAGCCGAGCAGCCCGACTTCCTCCCCCATTCCAGCAAGATACATGTAGCACCCCCACAAAAAGATGCCGTACACCCCACCAGCGTACAACCCAACCCGGTCCTAACAAGGTTTTCGTGTGATTGAGAGCGAAGTTTCTGATTGAGAGCGAGATTGCGCGATGCGCTGTAGCTGGACTACCGCTGAGAGGTGGAGCTTGCTGCGTGACTTGAATTGAAGGCCTAGCCCGTAGCTACAAGCCGATACCCTGGTCATCCTGTGGGCGTCTCTCGTTGTGGAGCTACAGCGGGGAGCAGAATCTACAGCAGAGCTCACCGCCCGCGATCAAATCGCCCTGAAACAGTTTGAGGCAGGAATAGCCAATCTGGGGAAATCTAGCAACTTGTCTAGCTCCTAGCTGCAGCATCCGATCGCGATGACACGCATATGCTCGTGACGCTGCTGATGAGACCTTCAATTTGCGCCGCTTCTTGGAAGAGCCCGCCCCCTACTTCCCAAGAAATGGCGAGAGGCGTCTGGACCCGAAATTTCAATTTTTTTGGCTCCCGCTCTCAATCGTACACTCCGCTCTCAATCAGGCGAAAACCCTGTTTCCTATGATATGATCTTGACGACGCCAAAAATGTTTGTTTTTTACCGATCTTGTGTACTTTATTTTGTGGAGTACGACAGGCGGCTAGCCACGACCACTACACAGCTGAACACCTCTTAAAAGACCCCCCCCCTCTACGCTACCCCCCCCCCGGTGTT